ATAGAATCTCAACTACATAGGCCACACCAAGCTGGAATTTATGTAACTGAGGCTGTTCTGAACTCACTATGTAGTCTAAGTTGACTTTGAACTCTCGGTTTTTCTGTTTTAGCTTCCTGGTTTTTTTCCTAAGCTCTCATAGTTTTTAAATTGTAGGAGTCCTCTCCACTCGGCATGAATTTTTTTTCTTTAAGTATCTTGCTCCAGTTATAAATGTCCAGTACCTTTTCTTATCTCAAAAACTGTCTATTTTACTTTTCTTTGAACTTGCTCTTTCTGTTCCCCAGGGCTTTACCTGAAGCCTACCTACTGCCTTGGTTTCTTCTAGTCTTTTCTTTCAAGTTAGATTCTTTATTACAAATTCTGGGTCAGAGCCGGGCAGTAGTGTGTGCATGCCTTTAATCCTAGCACTTGAGGCACAGGCAGACAGATCTCTGAGTTCAAGGCCAGCCTGGTGTACAGAATGAGTTCTATCGAGGACAGTCAAGGCTACACAGAGAAACACTGTCTTGGAAAAAAATAAAACAAAATTCTGGGCCTAAAGATGGCAGTTAGTAAAGTGCTTGTCGTCCAGACATGAGGGCCTAAATTTGATTCTTAGCATTCGTGTCAAAGTTGTCCCACAGCTGCACAAGTCTTTCAACTCCAAGTGCTGGAGGTGGGGGAAACCAGCAGATGCGTGAGCTCATTGGCCAGCCGGTCTAGCAGAATTGATGAGCTCCCAGATTCAGTGAAACCTAGGCTCAGTCACCTCAAAAAGTGAGCTGGAGAGCAACTGAAATAGATGCCTGGTGTTGGTCTCTTGCTTTCACAAGTACACGTGAAATTATACAAATGTGAATTTATACAAACACAAATCTAGAGATCCTTGGCTAATGACTTACAATTAAAAGTGAAAGATGGGTGGCTGGATTGACTCAGTATTTTAGAGCACTCATAAAGGACCCACCCATGTTCGGTTCCCACCTCTCAGATGGTAGCTTTCAAATTCCAGGGTTCTGATGCGCTTGTCTGGCCTACACAAGTACTATGTATACATAAAATAAATAATTAAAAATTTAAGTGAAAGCTAGCTGGTACACCCTTAATTCCAGTACTTGGGATGCAGAGACAGGAGATCTTGGTCAAGGCCAGCCTAATTTACATAGCCAGTTCCAGCCTAGCCAGGGCTACACAGTGAGTCCCTGTTAGGAGGGAGGGTGGGAGAAGAGAAACTAAAAACCAGGTGCCTCTTAATTTGGGTGAAAGATAGATTGTAAAGCTAGAAGGGAAGATACAAATTGATATAAGAGAATCTTGTATCAGAACATGAAGGAGGGTCTAAAAACTGGTGAAATGCCAGCTTGACTTGGGAAAAAAACTTGATAAGTATTCAGTGGCCAAATAGGGGGCAGTGTAAACATCAAGGTGAATAAAGCTCAACACAGATACCAATGGGTGGGTGTATATTGTAGAAAAGGAAGGTCTTTATAGGAAAATGCTGACTGAACACAGAATGTGTGGGAAGGAATGTATGCCATGTGTAACCATCCCAGCAATGATGGGTGCTGAAGTGTGGGTTTGATAAGGCCTAGGATACTATATCATATCTCCCCCCAAAATCCCTTATTAATTATAAAAGGGGGTGACTTTTTAATAGGGAATCCTGCTGGATACTACCTTAATAAAAAGGTCAAATTGATATGGTTGGTAGTAACACAAAGTGACATCATAGCCTGCAGGTATATTGCACTGAGATAGACATCATCACCTAGCGTAGTGGTCTTCCTGGAGAGAAACTGATCATCTAAACTTACCTGTGAAAATACAGTTTAAGCCGGGCAGTGGTGGCGCATGCCTTTAATCCCAGCACTCTAGAGGCAGAGGCAGGCGGATCTCTGTGAGTTCGAGGCCAGTCTGGTCTACAAGAACTAGTTCCAGGACAGGCTGGTTTCTACAGAGAAACCCTGTCTTGAAAAGCCAAAAAAAAGAAAAGAAAATACAGTTTATTCTGGAATTAAAATATGTTCAACAGAACCACAGGCCTGTACTCTGTAAATAGAGACTGGTCGTTCATTCCCAACCGTCCAGATCCAAATAATCACACAAAAACTATATTAACTAGCTGGGCGGTGGTGGCGCACGCCTTTAATCCCAGCACTCGGGAGGCAGAGGCAGGCGGATCTCTGTGAGTCTACAGAGCTAGTTCCAGGACAGGCTCCAAAGCCACAGAGAAACCCTGTCTCGAAAAAAAAAAAAAAAAAAAACTATATTAACTATAACACTGTTTGGCCAGTAGCTTAGGTGTATTCCTATTGCTCTTACATCTTAAATTAACCCATTTTTATTAACCTATGTATCACCACAAGGCTGTGGCCTACCAGTAAGATTCTGCCATCTGTTTCCTTTGGCAGCCTATTCTCTCTATATATCTCTGTTTGGATTTTCAGCCTGGCTTTACTCTGCTAAACCATTGGCTGAAATAGCTTTATTCATTAACCAATAAAAGCAACACATATACAGAAAGATCCCGCATCAGTACTCTATTCTTAGTAAACAGAATTATCATATGAAAGCACATCAAAGTTCCACAGCAACAAGATGAAGTGTGCAGTCTGGTTGGATTCTACCTTAAGTGCTGTGAAAGAAATTTTAGTAACATTGGAGAAATTGAATTTATTATTTGAGGGCTATTCTTGTTGATGAGATCTCCATACCTAGAAATGAACTTGATTCTCTAGGCATTCAGTTATGCTGTCAGTTTCCCTGTGGTCGTTGTGACATACACCAAACTTAAAGACCGACTTGTTTCCCTCCAGTTTATAATTTTATCTCATTTCTGTTGGTAATTTACAAGGCTCAAAGTACATTGTTTAATTTCGAAGTACCTGAGTATTCCCAGTATCTTTCTGATAGTGATTTCTGGCTAATCCCATTATGGTCCGAGAATATACTTGGCATTAATTTCACTTTAACATTTCAGCTTTGGTCCTACAGTATTATCCATTTGGAGGGTGCTCCACATTGGCGTCAACAGGATGTGTGGTCTGCTACTACTGAATAAAGTGTTCTGTGTTAGGCCCAGATCCGCAAAGTCCCCCAAGAACCAACAAGGAGGCCGAGTTCCATATGTAAAAGCAAAGAGCCTTTATTTTAGACAAGTTTGCAAACTCGGTCTCTCTGTGTGTCCAAAGTATTGGAATAATCGGAGAGCCCCGAGCTCAGTTAGAGTTGGGTTTTTATAGTAGTAAAGGTGGGGTTGAGGGATTTCTAAGGTTCAGGACCCCTGATTGGCTGACATTTGTCTAGGGGTGCCCTGGTGAGTGTGTGCTGGCAGGTGATCCTGTCTACAATGGTTGGAACATTAGGCATTTCCTTTGGATGGTCTGTTTTTGGGTGGTGCCTGGGTAATCTCAGTTTGCGGTCCTTCCTGCCTCCAGGTATTGTCTCAGGGTGAACTACTGAGACTCGGGCCTCCATTAAGCTTGTCCTGGCTGGGTCCTACACTGGCAGGTGATGATGGTTGGAAGTTAAGAACTTCCTTTGGGTGGTCTGCTCCTTTTAAGCTTATCGTGGCTGGCTGAGTCCTGTATTCTGTAGGTGGCGATTAGGCTCAGCTGGCAGATAGTGCTTTATCTAGGTCTGGTCTTTTTTATTGATTGAATGAAGAGTATTGGTGTTTTACACAATTTTGGATCTGTACATTTTCTTTCTGTGCATGTCAGTTTTGCTCTGAGTTTCCTGTCAGTGTTTTGAAGTTCGCTCAATCTGACTGGTACTCTGCAGCATCCGCTTTTGCTTCCTCGGTTATGTGTAGATGTATTTTTTCTGAACCATTTGAGAGGTAGCACTTGCTTGGATTGGATTTCTGCTGTTTTTCTTAAATATTTGAGTTCATTTCTTTAAGGGTGAGGACATTATTTATATAATTATAGGTTATAAAGTTTGGCTTTTTTTTTTTTAATAAGTTTTACTTAAATTTCTCCATTTTAGGTTTTTCCCTGTCCAGGATCAGGATCCAGTTCAGGATTGCATAGTATTTGTTTTCTGTCTTCTACAATGTGCTTTAATCCTGAGCATCTCCTTACCTTCCTTTGTAATGGCATTAGTATGTACATTTAAGAGACTGTGGATGTTTTTAGAGATGGTGCAGTGTTTTTGTAAAAATTGTATTGGGCATGTTGTATCCTTTTCAAAGCACTTACCAAGAACTATGATATCAGTTTGGGCTGCTGGCAGTAACAAGGAGAGAGGCAAGTTTTGTCACCAGCAGAAGTGACACAGCTTTCTTGCTGTATTTAGTTTCTTTATTAATCATTAACCTTTTCCTTCCCTTCCCTCTCCATCCTTTTCCTTCCGGTTTCATTTTTTTTCTTTCCCCTCCCTCTTCCTCTTTCTCCTCTTCCTTCCCTTCCCTCTTTTCCCCCCCCCCCTTTCCTTCCAAGCTTTAGGGATTGAACCCAGGTCCTTGAATATTAGTTGAATATTCTACCACTCATTGATCTACACCCCCAGCCACTCCTGACATACACCTTTTAGAAATTGAGATGGCTCTTGTTACCTTGCCCAACTGGTTTTAGATTTTTGGCTTGAAGCATTTTTAAGCCTCTGAATGGCTAGGACTACAGCGAGCTGCAGTCCCAGCATCTAATTTGCTAGCCTTTAGCTGATATTTCAGTGGTGCACACTGAGTAAAGGAAAAGTAGCTGCTGGGGGAGAGGTATGTGCTGTAGGGAGCTAAATATGGGGTTAAGGTGGAAACCTGGCTGTGAGGAGGAGGGCTTTCATGTGACAGCTCTAGTGACCAGAGCAGACGTCCTGTAATGGAATGCTGGGATATCTGACTCTTACAAGTGATGATTGCTTAAGAGCTAACAGTCTTAAACTAGAACAGCAGAATAATCAGATGACCTAGCAGCCTAAATCTCATCAGTGATATGTTCTCTCTCTCTCTCTCTCTCTCTCTCTCTCTCTCTCTCTCTCTCTCTCTCTCTCTCTCTCTCTCTCCTTTTATTCTTCAGTTACACATTGAAATCAGAAGGCTATAATAGAAGACCAAGTGGTCGTCGCCATAGCAAAAGCAATCCAGAGAGTTCCTTAACATGGAAACCTCAGGAGCAGGGTGTAACAGAGATGGTTTCGGAAGAGGGTGGCAAGGGTGCAAGGCGTCCCCATTGCACAGTGGAGGAGGTAAGCCCTTTCAGCCTGGTATCTTAAAGAAATGTTTTTAATGACTTTTGAGTAATAATTTGTGTACTGTGACATACAATTCAAAAGGTACTGCAGGGGTACAGTGACTATAAGTGTCCCAGCGTCTGTCCCTTTCTGGCCTCCCCAGCCTGCTTTGACTCATAATAAGTACTGTTGTTGTACGGTCAGTACCCGGAGCTACTCTGGACATGCATCTTTGAGTCAGTTTCAGATGTTAAGAAAGGATCCCATTAGGAAGAGATTGCTTTTCAACTTTATTTATTTATTTATTTATTTATTTATTTATTTATTTATTTATTTATTTTTGAGGACATGGTCTCTCTAGAGCCCTGGCTGTCCTGCGATACCCTGTGTAGACCAGGCTGACCTCTTAACTCACAGAAATTTGTCTGTCTTGCTTCCTGAAAGCTGGGATAAAACACGTGCACCGTCGTGCCCTGCCTTACTTACTTTGATGAACTTTAGTAGCTGTGTTCAGTAGAGGTGGTGAAAGATGCTCCGCTCTGCTTTTCCTTCCCTTTCAGAGTGCGGAGTAAGAGGGGGAGATGATAGTCCTTCATTTCTCGACATGGCAGTGTTGAGCATGATTTCTGTCTCTGCTGTTTCCCAATTCCACCCACTGTTTGAATTTGGTGGGTGGTTTGGGAGCTGCTTGGTTCATCAAAGAAATATTTATTCAAGTCCTAGATACTGCACTAGTTTTTAGTAATTCGGGTTGTGAATCCTAGATTTGGCCCCTGCCTTCAGGAGTTTTACATAACTTATAATTTGGCAGACAAGCCAAAGGAATTGTGGGCCAGAGGCCCTCTGTAGAATTTCAGAAGAGAAGCCTGAGTGTTTTAGGAGATCTGAGATATGACTAAGCAGATAGCAGATAAGGTGGTGGGCAGTTAGTCTTAGCAAGGACACGTTTGTTAATTGAGAATAATACATAGCATACAGGGAGAACCTGAGGCCCAAATTTCAGCTCTGGATAAATATATGTCACTGACCAAGATACCCTGTGTGTTTAGGGGGAAGATGCTGACTTCAGTTTTGGACATTGTTTAAAGTGCCCGTGAAACACGCAAGAAGACCTCTCCTGTAGACTCTTGGATATAGGTGATGGGAGTTATGAGAAGAAGGCAGGGTTAGAGACATGTTTCTGAATTTTCTACATATTGTTGTAATTTAGTTCAAGGGAGCTGATAAGAGTATTCAGGGGAAGATGTAGTGTGAGACGAGATATGGGCAGAGCCGTCAGCACTTATGGCAGGCAGAAGAGAGCCTGACGGGCAGTGAAGACTGATTGGAAGCGGTTACTGTCCAGGAAGGCCAGGCGAGGTCTGCTGGGTGAGGTGCACCACAAATTATTAATTAATTAATGTGGCTGCAAGGCCATTGGTGATGTGGACTCTAATTATGAAGTGGATTCTTTCTGTTAATTTCTGGTCAACTCAGCTTTTTTCATCTTAGTTCTGTCAAAGACGCAAATGCCTCCAAGATCTAGCACAGTGGTTCTTAACCTTTCTCATGCTGCGACCCTTTAATAAATAGTTCCTCATGTTGTGGGGACCCCCAACCTTAAAATTAGTTTTTGTTGCTACTTCATAACTGTAATTTTGCGACTGTTGTGAATCGTAATGTAAATATCTGATGTGCAGGTGGTTTTGGGCCACCCCTGTGAAAGGGCTGTTGGGATGAGGACCCATAGGTTGAATGTAAATGAGTGAAGTAGCGTGGAAAGCAAATGGCCTACCTAGAAAAAAACAGTTTTTTTCTAAAGAGGTCAAGATTTTAGATTTTTAAGTTTTTTTTTTTTTTTTTTTTTTTAAAGTTGGTATTTAATTAAAGCAATTTTAAGAACAGTGTTCCCCAAATAAAGTTCATCTGTGGGCTACATCTCACCAGCCAGTGTCTGGTTAAATTTGAATTTAGGCTTCATGAGCTTCTACTCAGCTTGCATACTTTCTTATCCAGGGTGTCCAAAAGGATGAAAGGGAGAAATACCGAAAGTTATTGGAGCGACTTAAAGAAGGTAGTCATGGAAACACTCTCCCTTCCGTATCTTCACATCATAGGTAAGAACTGACGAGTGCTTTCTTAGCATATATCCTTAGTGTGTATCCTTTGCTAACATGTGTCCTTAGCATGTACCTTTCTTCTGTTTCTAGTGAGGTGCTGGCCGTGGAGCTTGTCTGACACTGTAGTGTAGTGGCTTACAAAATGTAGTTTTCTGTTAGCTTTACAGACCTTTGCCTACATGAACTCTTTTTTTTTTTTTTTTTTCTGGGAAGGGGGATGTTTTTGTTGCTCATTATCTAGCACAGGCTGGCCTAGAACTTATAATTCTTCTGCCCCAGCCTCCCACATGCTGAGATTATACCCATTGAAAACCACTTCCAACTCACATGAACTCTTATTCAATCAACTGCCCAGTCTCCTCGACACATGTATCTGTGTCTCTGCCTTTGTCCTAGCTCCTTTCTTCTGTTCCCTTTTTATCTTTTTTTTTTTTTTTTTNCCAAAAGGATGAAAGGGAGAAATACCGAAAGTTATTGGAGCGACTTAAAGAAGGTAGTCATGGAAACACTCTCCCTTCCGTATCTTCACATCATAGGTAAGAACTGACGAGTGCTTTCTTAGCATATATCCTTAGTGTGTATCCTTTGCTAACATGTGTCCTTAGCATGTACCTTTCTTCTGTTTCTAGTGAGGTGCTGGCCGTGGAGCTTGTCTGACACTGTAGTGTAGTGGCTTACAAAATGTAGTTTTCTGTTAGCTTTACAGACCTTTGCCTACATGAACTCTTTTTTTTTTTTTTTTTTCTGGGAAGGGGGATGTTTTTGTTGCTCATTATCTAGCACAGGCTGGCCTAGAACTTATAATTCTTCTGCCCCAGCCTCCCACATGCTGAGATTATACCCATTGAAAACCACTTCCAACTCACATGAACTCTTATTCAATCAACTGCCCAGTCTCCTCGACACATGTATCTGTGTCTCTGCCTTTGTCCTAGCTCCTTTCTTCTGTTCCCTTTTTATCTTTTTTTTTTTTTTTTTTAATTTTTCAAGATAGGGTTTCTCTGTAGCTTTTGGTTCCTGTCCTGGAACTAGCTCTTATAGACCATGCTGACCTCGAACTCAGAGAGATCTGCCTGCCTCTGCCTCCCAAGTGCTGGGATTAATGGCATGCGCCACCACCACCCAGCACCCCTTTTTATCTTCACTCCCTCACAGCTTCTCCTGTATTTCATTTTTCCTTTCTCCTCCCCATACACACACATAGTCTCCGAGGCATCTAGTGATTGCATTTTAGAATCCTCTGCTTAGGAATAAGAGTAAAGTCATAAGAAGTTTGCTTGTTAATTCAACATGCAGGTGATTTGAAAAGATGTACTTTTATCTGGAGGAGTAGGCAGGAAGGTGTAAGCTCAGGATTTCAGTTCGCCTGGTAATTCTAACAAGTGATTGCAAATACACAGAGTCCTCTGAAGTGTGGGACTTCAAGCTGAGTCTCAGGATTGTCTAGCTTATTGAATGCAGAAAGAACAAATTATCATTTGGAAGTTTAACTTTGGTTATTGCACATCATAGGTTTTTGTTGTCGTCCTAATATTAAAGGTTGGAATGTTAGTCCTTTCTCTGTGTGACTAAGGCCTTACCTTTTGTGCCTGAGCTGATCTTTCTCCTTTTGTTTTTCTAAGTTCTCAGAGAAGTCAGATGGACACATTAAAGACCAAAGGCTGGGTGGAGGAGCAGAGTCATGGAGTCAGAACAACCCACTTTGTTCCGAAACAGTGTGAGTTCCAGACTGAGCTCCATCATAAGACATTGACCTTTGCTCATGTGAGCGCATGCTTATAAGGTTGCAAATCGGTACACTATTCAAAGATGCTATACTAAGCTGTAAAGTATTGTCAGACTTCAAGGCATTGGCTAGCACTTACCTGAAGTTTTATTTTAAAAAAGAAAAATGCTATTAAGATTAAATTGATTAATTAGGATTAATGCCTGTATAGTAGTATATTTTGTGAGACTAAAATTAATTTACTTCATATTAACTGTCTTATCTTTCTCTAATACTGTTCACTGAATGTCTTTAGCTTATTGAATGATCTGTTATCAGTTTGTGATCAAGCTTATATTGAAGGAAGAAAAAGTGACATGCATTTTAGAGGTGCTTGTGTGTGCGGCAGCCAGTGGCTTTGGAGTTCACGTTAACACCAGTGCAAACAAATGTGCTGATACTGTGAATCTGACAGTTGACATTCCAGCCTGGGATTGGCAAGTAAAGGATCTTTTCTTTCCATCCCCACAGACAGAGTTGTTGAAACAAGGGGACCTCTCTGTTCAATGAGAAGTGAGAAGAGGTGCGTGGCCCTTTTAATTCTAAGATTTCATTGAGAGTAAGTCTTCTCACAAGTCACATTTATGAATACCCATGAGGAACCGTGGACCTCCTCGGTCTGCTAACTAGTCAGCACTATGAGTAGGTAAATAGTTCTTAAGTCAGACTCTTCCAAACTGCTATCGGCTCGTAGCCACCAGGGCTTAGGGAAAGAAGTGGGTGACATCCCCAGTGGCCGCTGTCTCAGACATAGGAACAGTGAAGGTAGTTCTGCTTTCCTTAGGATTTTGGATGGTTATATCTTTATAGCAGACTTGGCCAGCAGTGGCCAGGGTCCAAATCTGGCTGTCTGGTTTAAGTGAGCCACAGAGGTGAGGAAGTGTGAATGGGCTGCAGAACCCGAAGTTTGTCCCGGGCCTTCCCAGGGAGGCTTGTTGACCACTTTAAGGGAACTTAACTGTTTAGTATTTATAAATTTATAAATTATGTGCCAGGGTGGGTTCTGGCAGGCATAAAGATATCCCCAGAGAGCTCTAAATTGATATATTAATGTGTAAACAGAAATTGTACAGGAAAGTTTTAAAAGTTTGTAAAGTTGACAACTTTTCACAAGGCTAATTGGAATTCCATTTCAGATGAATTGAGTAGGTATTACTGTTTAGATTGATTTTGCCTCAGAGGGTTCAGCCCATTGTGATAGGGTAAGCATGGCAAGGTAATGATAGATCAGAAAGCAGAGGAAGGGAATGCTGGCTTGTAAGCAGCCTCCCAGCTTGCAGTCTCCGGAGTGCTGGTGCTCATATTCAGAGTGGGCTTGTCCCCTCTGTTGAAAAGCCTCTCATAGACACATCCAGTCGTCTAGGTGGCTCTAAATCGAATCATGATTAACCATTGCAAGTTTACCACATGGACAGTACCAAGGTCTTTTACCAACTTGGCAATAGCTAAGCTCCCTTGGACCACAGCTGCTGTGATCTTAAAAGTGTTAGGTGGATGACCATAGGCAGCTCCCTGCAAGGAGGGTACCTTTCTTCTTAAGGCAGGCAGTCTTCAAAATGATTTTTCAGGGCTGGCAAGATGGTTCAGGAGCTTGCCACCAAGTCTGAAGTTTGATCCCCAGAACCCACTGGTAGAGAGAACCAACCTCCCGAGGTTGCCCTCTGATTTACACTGTGTATTGCAGAACTTCTGTCACCCATCCAGTAAAGTGTGAGAGTACCAAGAACAAAGAAACCACTCAATAATAATAAAACAGTAAATAAGACAAGGTCACAGTTTTGTGCTTTAAACCTGTGGCCAGTTTCTTATTTTAAGGAAAAGTACCTGGGGGGACAGGCAGTTGGGGTGAGTTTTAACAGTACTAATCTTTTTAAGTAATTACATCATCCTTGTCCATCCCTTTCGTCCTTTGGCTCTGCATTTTCCTTCCGAGTCTTCTATAAACTTGGCTAAAATCTTCCAGCAGTAACCATGCTACATCTTGGCTGCTAAACTGCCTTTAAAGTTCCTTTGTCACTGCTTCCCCACCCTTCTCTTTTTAAGAGAATGGGCAGGGAGGGGTGTGTGTGTGTGCATGTGGAGGTCAGAGGTGGAGGTGTGTGTGTGTGTATGCGCATGTGGGGGTCAGAGGTGGAGGTGTGTGTGTGTATGCGCATGTGGAGGTCAGAAGTGGAGGTGTGTGTGTGTGTGTGCGCGTGTGGAGGTCAGAGATGGAGGTGTGTGTGTGTGTGTGTGTGTGTGCATGTGCTTGTGGAGGTTAGAGGTGGTGGGCTGTATGTGTGTGCGTGTGGAGGTCAGAGGTGGAGGGCTGTGTGTGTGTGTGTGTGTGGAGGTCAGAGGTGGAGGGCTGTATGTGTGTGTGCATGTGGAGGTCAGAGGTGGAAGGATGTGTGTGTATGTGTGTGTGTGTGCGTGCACGTGTGGAGGTCAGAGGTGGAGGCATTAGATTTTTTTCCTCAGTCATTTTCTACTTTTTTAGACAACGTCTCTAATTGAACCTGGAGCTTATTGCCTGGCTGGCCGGCAAGCCTCAGCCTCCTGTCTCTTCCTCCCTGGAGCTGGGCTATAGCATGTGCTGGTGCACCCAGCTTTTACATGGGTCCAAGACTCAAATTCACTATTTTCCTGACTCATCCACCTCCACAGTCTTTGGATACAGGGTCTTAACTCTGTAAGTAAGCTGACCTCAAGCTCTGATCCTCCTGCCTCTGCCTACTGAGTGTTGAAGTTACAGGCATGTACCACCTCTTCCTATACTTCATCCTCTGTAAAATCACCCTCAGATAAGGTTCCAGATTGCAGCGAAAATAGAGCCATTCTTCACCTTCTAATACCATGGACCCTGTGTGGACCTCATGAGTATGTCTAGTGTCCGTATTTCTGTCGGCATCTGGTCTTCTCAGCACCTGTCAGAATCTCCCGTTCAGCTCTGCTTTTGGCTTTCTGCAGCTTCTCTCTCACCGGTGTCTCTGTTTCCCTGAAGTTTTCTTCAGACTGTTCCAAAATTGTAGGCTCCAGAGAGAGGTCTAGTCCCAGCAGGAACTGCACTTCTCTGGGACCAGTCCTTCATGTTATTTCCTTCCGCTGCCTGCTACAGTGCCCAGTAGAGAGAGACAACCTGAGGGAGGCTTCTGTAGCTCAGTTTCAGAGAGGCCAGTCCTCACGGGGAGGAAAACATTAGCATGGCCCAGTTTATTTACAGCAGGCCAGTGTTCTCAAGACCACTTTTGTTTAGAGATCAGTGAATCCTAATTTCAAAATTAAAAAAAAAAAAAATTAAGACAGGATCTTATTTAGCCCAGGCTAGACACAAATTCATTATGTAGCCTTGAGCAACTGATCTTCCTGCTCTCAGTTCCCTGGGTTCTCGTATTACAGATGTGCACGACTAATAATTCTTATTCTGGAACTACATGTACCGTGTTCAACAGCAGAAGTCTGTAAGTTCTCAATGGTTTCCTTCTCAGGTACTCAAAAGGGAGAGCTGACACAGAGAAGGTGGCGGGGCTCCGATTTGAAAAAGAAGGTGTAAGTTGACGCCCTTGGTAAAGTGTTTGTCAGTTGGTTTTTGGTTTTTCGAGACAGTGTTTCTCTGTGCAGCCCTGGCTGTCCTAGAACTCACTCTGTAGACCAGGCTGGCTTGAACTCAAAGAAATCCACCTGCCTCCCAAGAACTGGGATTAAAGGAGTACGCCACCACCACCCGGCCTACTTTCAGTGTGAGTATTAGAATCATTGTTTCAGTGATCTCTGTAGACATACTCAGGTTTTTAATGATAAAGTCTTTTATTAAACATTTAGTGTCTGATAGAAGTATATTCCCCCCCCACACACACACTTTTGAGACAGGGTCTCACTGTGTAGCCTTCATTGATCTGAAACTTACTATATAGACCATATTGGCCTCAAACTTGTAGAGATCCAGTTGCCTCTGCCTCTAGATTAATTAATTAGAGGTAATTAATTAATTACCTGGGATTACAGGTATGCACGACCACACCCCGACACAGAAATAGATTTACTGAATCTTTGTTACTTATATTTTAGTTACATAGAATTACAAAGTGGTAAGCATTCCCTTATCTTATGTTCTGATGGACTCTTGTGTCTATCACTTGTCACTCACTTAGCCAAAGCAAAGAATGCTGACAGTCTTAGCACTTGGGGAGGCCCAAGTCTAAACAACACGTGAGAGCTGTTGTTTCTGTAAAATGAAGGAGGGAGTGGTCTGCCTGGCAGGCAGCAAGAGCAAAGAATGCTCACTGATCTCTGGAGAATACTGTAGCTCTACTCCAAAGTTCTATTTCTAAACACATTTCCTAACTTGTTTTTTTGTAAGGTGTGGGTTTTGTATATGTAAGGCAAGTGCTCTACCACTGAGCTACATTTTCAATCCCCAGTCCTTGGGGTTTTGTGGAAGCTTCATTATGTATGCATGAGTTAATTAGCAGCCATTAGTGATAGCCTTGCTTTTCTACAATAGATTTTTTTTTTAAATACAGATATGAAATAGAGGACTAGACTGTAGTTCGGTGGTATTTTCTACAATATATTGGTTTTTTTTATACAAATATGAAATAGACTAGACTGTAGTTTAGTAGTAGTGTTTGTTTAGCATGTTAAAGGTCTTAGGTTCCAACTCCAGTACAGAAAGAGGAATAAATAAATTGAAGCAGGTTTAATTAACACAGGCTGACTTTGAATAAGGACAGAAGTAAATTCTTGTGTATAATGCGCTGCAGGCCATACCTCGTGCCTTTCTAAACTATACAGAACTACACATTAGATGGGGATAGGAACTGAAAATGCTTTCCTTCCTGCTCCCCAAGGAATGTGAGTGCTTCAGTTTGCAGTTGACATGCCCCGTGAACCTTTGTTTAACCCTGAAGCTTCCGCTCACCCTTGCCAGGGCATATAGACAGGCTGGGTCTTTTTTATGGTCTAGAGAGTTGCCAGTTCTCCTATTCATTCTCTCTCTGTCTTCAAGTTAGTGCCAGAGTTTCACATTTTTTTTTCTTAATTTTATAGACCTAATTATAAAAAACATCATACACCAAAACTAAGCAGACCCAAAGTCTGTACAGCTCAGTGAACTGCACAGTTAGAAAGGCCACTTGGAGCAGAGGCTGTGAGGCTTCACAGTGATTTCGCACTTTCACTATCGAATCTATTTTTATGCATTTATTCACCACCCAAAACGAAAATCCATGACAGTTAAAACTAGAAAACAATTAGCTTTATGTCTTCTTTCATAACATATACAGTTTTATGTTCCATATGTAGTGTGTGTTGTATGTATAAGAGGAACCAAGTCAATGTTGAAACTCTTTTGGTCAGACAAGGGTTCACCAATTGGAACCTGATCTGTCAGAAGAAGTGTCTGCTCGGCTGCGCCTTGGAAGTGGGAGCAATGGCTTACTCAGGAGAAAAGTGTCCGTGCTTGAAGCGAAGGAAAAGAACTTCCCGAGCCGAGAAAAGGAGAGAAGATCAGATCTCTTTGAGCTTACAGAGGTATGGTTCCTGTGTGGCTCAGCCTGTCTCTAAACTGAAACACATGCTTTGTTTTGAGGAGTTTCTCTAGATAAGGACTGAGTAGATGAAGTTTAAAAACAAAACAAGACCTGGACTCTGGGTCTTCTTATATTGGCTATGTTGATTATTTGTCTGTGTGAAGGTTGCTTGATAGATCAGTTATACTTGGTTTTGGGGGTCTTGGGATTTTTTTTCTTTCATTACTTAGCCCAGGATGGTCTGGATCTCACGGCAGTCCTCTTGCTGCTGCCTCTCAGATGCTGGGCTTACAACCATGTGCTATCACATTGCTGTAACTGATTGGTTTTCTGCCCTTCAGATGTTTTGAGTTTTAAAATGGGCTATCAAGAATGAATGTATTGAACATTTTTAAAATTGCGATTTTCTAAAACAATCTTTTTTCATTGATTACCGTACTTGAATATAGTGAAAAAATAGTAAATAGTAAAGCCATAAAATAACAAAATTGTGTGGCAAGGAAAAAAACAATAATGGTAATATTTTGATTGGGTTCATAAACTAAATATATATTTATCTGCATAATTCACTAAAATAATTAAAGGAAGATATCCTTTATTAAGACTGTTTTGGTTTGCTTTTATATTTTTCTGAGACAGGAGTTCTCTGACTCTTTTAGAACTTGCTCTGTGGACCAGGTTGGCTTGGAACTCACAGAGAGCCACCTGCCTCTGCTTCTTAAGTGCTGGATTAAAGGTGTGCGCCACTGCCACCTGACTTATTAAGACTGTTTTATAGTTGTAAGTTTGAATGTTTTTACACTGCAGTTTTGTAGCTCTTGAATAGTGACTGTTCTCAAAGATCATCAGGTGTTGCTGAGATGAAAGGCATTTTCTCACTCAGGCTTTTGATACCTGCTAGTGGTTTTGTGCTAAATCCATGTCCTCTGGACCTTCTAATTCAGGACATGGAAAAGGAAATCAGTAATGCTCTGGGCCATGGTCCACCAGATGAGATCCTAAGCAGCGCTTTCAAATTGCGAATTACTCGAGGAGATATCCAGACCTTAAAGAACTATCAGTGGCTCAATGATGAGGTCAGTCTCTCTTCCTGCTTTGTCACCTGCTTATAATCAAAGTGACTTCTACCCAGTTAGAAGGGGCTGGGGAAGCAATTTCTGTTCTGCTGCCTTTTCTTTTAGTGCCAGGGATTGGACAGACAAGCAAGTGCTCCACACTAAGCTATAGCCTCTGCCCTCTTGTTTTTCCTCTTGTCTTCTGTTTTGAGACAAGTTTCCACTAAGTTGTCCAGGCTGGCTTTATGTTAAAGAGCTCAGACACACCTTGAACTCTGTTGTGATCCTCCTGCCTCACCTCATCCTCCGGAATAACTGGGTCATAGCTTTCACACAGCCCCAGGTGTTCTTTCTTGTTTTGTTTTTTCATGCTTGAAATTGAACCTAGGCTCTTGTGCAAACACTCTCCCGCTGAGTTATGTATCACTGATTAGTAATATGTAAAGCAAAACATCTCATTTAAAATGTATTGGAGTGGGGGTGGTGGCAAATGCTTTAATACCAGCAGAGGCAGGCAGATTTCTTGAGTTCAGTGCCAGCCTGTTCTACATAGCAAGTTCCAGGCCAGCCAGGGCTACATAGTGAGACCTTGTCTCTACCCTTCTCCCCCACCAGAAAGGGTATTGCCCTCGGTTGGTTCTGATGATTACAAAGCCCAGTCTCGATGCCTACAGCTTTATTATCTGCTGTTGGTACAGTGATGGAGAATGGGTCTGGGCCCTCACACACGGGAAGGGAAGAGGACTGTGGCAATCTCTCCCTTCAGCTTCCTCATAAGAATAGTCTCATCCATGGGTAGAGTGTTCCTGAGTGAATCATTGCCTACTGTCGACACGCTGAGTATTAGATTCTTGTGTAAGTATTTCCGAGAAAGGACAGCAGTTAGGACCCACATTTGGTTCCCAGCACCCACATCCTTTGGCCTAACAGCCTGTAACTCTACCTGCAAAGGATCTCTGTCTCTGGCTTCCATGGGAACCTGCCCTCAGCGTGCATATGCTCATATATACACACATAGTTAAAAATAAACCTTAAAGAATTTTTGATTGATAAGTGTGTTCAAACCATAGCAAATGATAACTATAAAAGTCACTCAGTTTGTTGTCTGTATAACATAGTCCACAAAAGCTGCCTTAGTTCTTACTCCTTTTCAGCTAGCTGTTCTGTCCTCTGTTTTCTCATTTGCTCCTCTTGCTCCATCTCCCTATGTCACAAGCCCAGTTACATGAAAATATGGCTTTTTGTTTTGTTTGTTTTTCAAGACAGGATTTCTTTGTGTTGCTTTGGAGACTGTCCTGGAACTTGCTCTGTAGACCAGGTTGGCCTTGTACTCAAAGAGATCCACCTGCTTCTGCCTCTGCTGGGATTAAAGGTGTGCATCACCACCCAGCAATACTGTCATTTGTAAATGTAATGTAAGTGTAAATTTGCTTATTATGAAGTTTTTGAAAAATACTTTATATTTGAAAAAATTATTGTTCAAAGGTTTCATAAATATTTTGGCACTTTCCTTCCAGGAAATATAACCAAATTGAGGGATATTTTGGATGTAGTGCTATAGTTAATAGTTCATTTTCTGCATAACAGTTGCATATGCCTTTTTATTATTGCATAGAAATGTGATTCATGTGCTTCAAAATTATAGTCACATGACTTGCTGGTTTTCATTTAGGGAGATGATCCAGTACTAGAAATTGAATCCAGTGTCTTGCATGTACTGGGCTGTTGAGTTCAATCCATAGCCCTTTATTCTTCCTTGTCTTGCTCATTTGTACTGAACAGTTGTTTTCTGACTTCTTGCATGGACTGTCTTTTCCCTAAGCATCTCACTTCCTGATTCAGGTAGCAGTTTAATTTTGTAATGTATTTGCCATGTTCCAAATTTTAATTTTTTGGTATTTTACAGGTCATTAATTTTTACATGAATCTTTTAGTGGAAAGGAGTAAAAAGCAAGGCTATCCAGCACTTCATGCATTCAGTACGTTCTTCTATCCTAAATTAAAGTCTGGGGGTTACCAAGCAGTGAAAAGATGGACCAAAGGGGTAAATCTCTTTGAACAAGAGCTTGTTCTGGTACCTATTCATCGGAAGGTGCATTGGAGCCTTGTGGTGAGTTGAGAAGGTTAATTGTTGGAGCTTGGTTATAGATTCCTCCTTCTCTTCTTCTCTTTCCCCTTCTCTCTTCTCTCTCCCTCACTTTCCTTCTTTCTCTGACCACCTCTTCTCCTCTCTTTCCTCCTGCCCCCTTCCTTCTCCCTTTTTCTCTGTTCCCATGTCTTTCCTTTCTTGTCTTAGGGATCAATTCCTGAACCTTGCACATGCTAAAAAAGGATTGTACTGCTATTGTACCCCAGTTGCAGCAAAGGCTGCTGTCACTCCTCCAGTGAGAAAGGCCAGCTCTGTAGAGTCCTTTTTCTAGGTGTTCACTTGTTCAGCTTCGGAAGCTACAGGCATGCTTTAGAAGGAGCTCTGATTCTATCAGGAAAGGTGCAGGGGGAAGTCCCATGCTAGGAGGATTACTGGTGCCTTTGTATAGGAATTGAAGTTTGTCCTATTTATCTCAAACTGTGTGTGTTTTACAACTTCAAGTAAAAGTTCTGAAATCTGTTCATATTGCTACATATGTTAAAAAGTTTTAAATGTTCTTATTTTTAGAAATGAAATCATACTACTATTAATGCTTACATGTTTCTGGCATGGTGTGGTACTGGCATAGTAGCACATGTCGAGATCCCAGTATGTAGGAGGCTGGGGGAGGAGAATCTGGAGTTCAGGCTGGGCTACATAGTGAGACTTTATCTCAGTAAAAATCAAATAGCAGAAAAGGATGTCTGCCTGAGAATTTTTGCCTTTTCCCATATAGGTGATGGACCTAAGAAAAAAGTGTCTTAAGTATCTGGATTCTATGGGACAGAAAGGCCACAGGATCTGTGAGATTCTTCTGTAAGTATGGTCTGAAAGTCTCGCTGCTGTGCTGTCTTTCCTCCACTGGATCTCTCTTCTGTTCAACACTAGGGCGCTCTGGGTGGCTGTCTTAATGCAGTTATGAAGTAGTGTGTCATGATATGAAGTGCTTCTCTTCAGGGCTCTGTCACGTCCACCTTGTTGTCTAAACTAACTTAGGAGCTTATCTTGGCTGAGAGTTTCTGTTTGCGAGATCGTGGAGGGCAACTTTAGGCGATTCGGTGTAAGACATATTCTCCACAATCCTGACTGGAATCAGATTTCCTTGAAATTAGAATTCTGGGTATTCTGAAATACTCGGGGAGTCTTGGCCTGCAGTTCTAGAGTCAACTTATAACTGTATTTTCTGAGAGTGGAACTCGATTCATAGAACTCAGGGATATTTTTTAAATAAAATGTGTGCTTTGTGTAGGCAAATATTCCAAATTCAATAGTCTCCATTGTCATCAGGTGTCGTCCAGGTGAGCATCAACAAGACAGGCAGTGCAGAACCAACCTGTGTGGACCGTGCTTTGTCCCAAAGGATGAAAGTTCCTCTGTTTTCCCGTGTTTCAGGAACCTCCTTTGTATTGTTATTTTTGCCTCTAGAGGTCATTATTAAGGAAAATAATTGTTACCTGGACACAAGTATTCTGCTAATAGGACAGCAAGTACATATAGATGGGTGGTATAGAGCAGGGCTTCTTAAATAGTCCCCACTTCCCTTTTCACTTGAGAAATTTCTGTGTGGCTCTAGGTACATAAAATGGTATACAATCAAACATTTTTTAATAAAAAGTGGGTCCTGGGGATTAAACTTAAGTGGTTAGGGTTGGCATCAAGCATCTTTACCAGCTGAGCCATCTTGCTGACCCCAATTTTCTTCCCCACAAGACAGAGTTTCTTTTTGTAGCCTTGACTGTCCTGGAACTCTCTCTGTAGACCAGGCTGGCCTTGAACTCACACAGATCTAGCTCTCTCTGACTTGTGAGTGCTGAGATTGACGCACAAATAGCAGTTTTTAAAATCAGACATTCTAACATGATACAACCCAGAGATATCTTTGAATACTTTTATGCTGGGTAGAAAAATAGTAAAAGTCTGTTTTCTATAGTTAGACAAGTTTGTTTCTATAGGAGCAAAAAACTGTACAGTTAAAAAAACAGTGGAATTGCTAATGTACGGGAGTCTTGTGTCTGAGGTGAGGCGTGTCAGTCAGCATTGGTTGGTGGTTGGTGGTGTGATGGAACAGTCAGTGTATAGTATGCTTGTGGTTTCTTGAGAACCAAGGCTGTAGTGAAACGGCTGCTGCTGCTGCTGCTGCTGATGCAGCATGGGTCCAAACTGCCCAAACACTGCATTAGTTCATAATATCATAGTATAAACTATTTCATCACACATTTGATTATGGCTGTTGAACATTGAGAAACCTTCTGCTGTGGCCATAGTTCTGTGACTGTCATCTTTAGTCACGTGGCTCCATATCATGTTGTAACCAACACTTTAGAAATTCAGGGGTGTATATTGTGAATGGTACCAGATTTCCTCATGCTACTTAGAGCAGTGTGCAGTCTAAAAATTATGAAATGCTTATTTCTAGAATTTTCCATTTTATATTCTTGGATTGAGGTAACTGAAAGCACAGAAAGTAAGACCTTGGAGAAGAGAGACTCCATTAGTAATTGCTAGAAACCTCCCTTAAAAGCATAGCTCCAGGGTGGAGAGATGGCTCAGAGGTTAAGAGCATTCATTGCTCTTCCAGAGGTCCTGAGTTCAATTCCCAGCAAACACATGGTGACTCACAACCATCTGTAATGAGATCTGGTGTGCAGGCATACATGGAGAACACTGTATACATAACAAATCTTTTCTTTTTTTTTTTTTTTGTGGAACATACACACATGCAGGCAAAATGGCAATGCACATAAAATAAAAATATATCTTTGGGGCTAGAGTGATGGCTCAATGGATTCATAAGCATTTGCTCTTATAGAGGACCCAGGCTTGGTTCCCAGTCCCCAAAAGGCAGCTCACAACCACATGTAACTCCATTTCCAGGACTCTCATATCCTTTTCTGGCCTCAATGGGCACAAGGTATATACAGACACACTGTCAAAACACTCACTCAGACACAGAAAATAAAACTAAACAGTGTGTGTTGTGTGTGTGTTGGGGGTGGGGGGGATTAGCAATGTCCAGGAACCTTTCAAAGATAGGAAGGTAAATACAATAAAATATTAACAACCAATTTGTGCTGGCCACAACTTTTGGATACATGGCTTTCTTCTGGAACATGGGATATCTACTGGGGGTGGGTGGGGTGGCACTACACCTTTAAGAACACCAATTATCCCAATAATTGCTCTTTGTAAACTGAATATAGCTTATTTGTTCATCCTTACTAACGTTAAAAGCAGGGGCTACATTTGCTGTAGTTGTCAAAGGTAAAGATTCAACTGTGGGGTTGTCACTGCTGTGACAACCACCATGACCAAAACCAACTTGGGGAACATACACAAGAAAGAAAGGGGTTTCTTTAGCTTATACTTCCACGTTGTAGGCCATCACCGATCTAGAAGAACTCAAACAGTGAGGGATCTGGAGGAAGGAGCTGACGCAGAGGCCATGGAGGGGCACTATCTACCAGCTTACGCTACACAGCTTGCTCAGTCTGCTTTCTTATAGAACCCAGGACTACTACATCAGGGAAGGCACTACCCACAATTGGCTGGGTCCTCACTTATCAATCATTAATTAATAAAATGCCCTATCTCATGGAGGCACTTTCTTAATGGTTCTTTCCTCGTTGCTAACTTTAGCTTGTGTCATGTTGATGTGCTTTGCATGTACAACCAATCAGCACAATGAACTAGTTATGCTTGGGGGGCGGGGCACCCGAGACAGGGTTCCTGAACGGTCCTGGAACTCACTCTGTAGACCAGGCTGGTCTCGAACTTGCTGAGATCCACATGCCTCTGCCTCTGAAGTGCTGGGATTAAAGACTGCCAGAGGAGCTATGCTATCTTTTTTTTTTTTTTTTAATTTTATGTGACTTGGTGTTTGCATGTCTGTATGAGGGTGTCGGATACCGTGAAACTGGAACCATGGACAGTTATAAATTGCCATGAGGGTGCTGGGAATTGAGCCTGGATCAAATGGAAGAGCAGTCAGTGCTCTTAACTACTAAGCCATCTATCTCTCCACAGCCCCCTTGTTTGTGATATTTGTCTCTTTCCATTAGGAGAAAAATTTAATTCCCCACTGTAAGAGTGCCTAATACTAAGGATTAAACTTATTGTTAGCTGGGTCTGGTGGTGCATGGGAGGCAGATCTCAGTGAGTTCAAGGCCAGCCTGGTCTACAGAGTAAGTTCCAGGACAGCCAGAGCTACACAGAGAAACCCTGTCTCAAAAAACAAGTAAATAAAAAAGACTTATTTGCGGCCAGGCATGGTAGCTCATGCCTTTAATCCTAATTTGGGAGATTGAGACAGGAGGCTCTTGGATTGGAGGCAGTCTGGACTTTTGTACAAATAGAAAAGATTTTTTCTTTTTGTTGGACTCATATAGAAGGCTATAAAGCATTAAGACACCTAGAATTCTTACCTCCTGAAAGCAATTTCAACCCTGTTGGGGACAGTGTTATTCCAGTTGAGAATCTGCATCATAGTCCTGCATAATTTTATTCTATATTCAAGTTAGAAGGTCTGGTTTGTAGAATTTGAGGACTTTGAGATTAAAATTGAGGTTAAAATTAATTACTTATAGTGCTTAAGAATATATCTCCTGAGGCAGAGAGATAGCTCAGTGGTTAAAATCACTTGTTCTTACAAAGGTCCCTGATTCGGTTCCCAGCATCCACATGGTGGCCCACAACTCTCTGTAACTCCAGTTTTGGGGATCCAGTGCCCTCTTCTGGCCTCAGTGGCAGTAGACACACATGATACACATAAATACATACAGGCGAACACTCATACACAAATACTTTTTAAAATCTTTATAGCCTGTTGTGGTGGACACACTGTAATACCAGCACTTGGGATACAGAGGCACAGGGATCTCTGAGTTCAAGGCCAGCCTCATCAACACAGTAAGACCATGTCTTAAAAACAAAAAACAAAAATACATCTCCCAAGAATAAGGAATCTCTTCTATAACTGCAGTGATATTACCCATGCTTAGGAAGTTATATATCAGTAAAGTCATTTTTAGTGAATGTTCGTGTATGTATGGCTACACATAGGAACTGGTGTCTGTGTGACACAGCCCAAGTGTCCTCATAAGCATCATCTGCCTGCTTTGAGACAGGCTCTCTAATTGGCCTGGAGCTCTCCGATTAGGCTAGACTGGCTGGACATCACAACCCATGGCTCCTCCTGTGTTTGCTTCTTGGTGCTAGGATTACAGGCACACATGCCCATGCCACACATTTTCTAAACACAGGCCCAGGAGCCAGGAGCTCAGACGTGTACTTAATGTCTCTTTAGCCTCCTTGAATTTAAAACTGTTTTCTTGCCTTAAAGAAGGCGTTTCACGACTGTGACTTTTCTAGTCCAGTCTACTTTGTTTCTTAATTTCAAGTGAGAAAAGGCAAATTGTACAGTGAGTTAGCTTATTGTTGACAAGGCCAGGTTTTTTCCTATAGAGTATCTTTTATTCTTTGCTGATTTATGAGTGTAAATGATTTGTCTTGCTCATATCCTTTGAAAACTCCTCCCAGGCATTCCCAACATGCTCCTTTCAGAGCCCCTGCCCTTCTCATAGGTTCTTTCAAGTCTCCTGAATTCTACAGATAACTCCAAATTAAACACACAGATATAAAAATTAAAAGCTAGTATTCACATGTGTGAGAAGGGCATACAGTGTTTGAGCCTATGTGATCTCACTTACTGTAACTTCTTTAGTCCCATCCATTTTCCTGTGAATTTCCTGATTTCATTTGTCCTTGCCGTGGAGTAAAATCCCATTGTGTATGTCATCAGTTATGGACACATGTGCTGATTCCACTTCGTGGCCATTGTGAAGAGTGCGGCGAACTCCCTGGCCAGCAGGAAAGAACAGCCACCAGACGAGGATTCTTCTCAAATCACGCTTTATTGGAGCCTCTTGGTTGAAGGGAGAGCAGAAAGTGAGGGGCCCCGAGCTCTGAGCTGTAGCTGCTTATATAGGGAGTCTGCCTAGCAACCTTTGATATTTTGATACCTTAACTGCTTTTCTGGAGACCCACCGGCAGAAAAGAAAGCAGGAGAACATCCCTGTCAATTACAGACCACAAGGAAGTTCCCCTGCCGGTCAGGGGGAGGGTGGGCAGCTAGATCACAACAACTCCTCCTGTTTTCTAGTGGAAGAACTGCAACCTTTATTATGGTATCAAGCGAGGCCGGGGCCAAATGCCATCTTGTAATGGCAGCCATTCAAATCGGCTCCCAGCAGAAGAGAGCAGCAGTGAACATGAATGTGCAGGCTTCTCCTAGGATAGAGAGTCCTTAGGGTACACATCTCAGGAGTGGTATAGCTGGGACACATGGAAGTTGTATGTGTAGCCATCTGAGAACCCTCCACACTCACGTCCATAGTGGCTACACCAATTTACCTTTCCACCAACCGAGGATTTCCCTGCATCCACACCAGGATGTGTTGTCATTTGTCTTCCCATAGCCGTTCTGACTGGTGAGGTCACAGAGTAGTTTTAATAATGTTGAACACTTCCTACATGCATACTAGCCATCGTCCTCTTTTGAGAATTCTCTGTTCGGTACCATTGTAATAGTTGGTTTTTCTCAATGTGTAGTTCCGAATTCCATGTATATTCCAGAAACTGGTCCTCTGAGGAGTTTTCTCTCATTCTGGAGGCTGTTTTCCACTTAATTGATGGCTTCCTTTCCTGTACAGAAGCTTTTTAGTTTCATAGAGCACACTTGTGGATGATGGGCCTTATTTCTAAGCCTCAGACTCCTATTTCAATAGTCTTTACCTTTGCCCCCAGTGTACCCCTTTCTCCCCTAGCAGTTTCAGAGTTTCAGGTCTTAGATTGAGGCCCTGGATCCATTTGGAAGTGATTTTTGTGCAGGTTGAGAGATACAAGAATTTGGGTTGGGTTTTTGCAGGGGAGGGTAGTTAGCCAATTTTCCCATTACCAATTGTTGAAAACAGCTGTCTTTTCTGTGTGTTTTGGGCATCTTTGTGAAAACTCAAGGTGCATGGCCTTACATCTGGTTCCCTGTTGTACCCTTTCATCTGTTATCATCCTTGAATGTGTTTGTAATCATCGTCTTGAGGTCTGGGGTTGTCACTGACACCGTTACTGAATAGTCAGTCATTTCTACAGGACTGATGCTTGTCTCTTTCCCTGTTCCTTGGTACTGCGTTGGGATTTACACAGCTGGTGTTATTTCTTTGCGTGCTTGTTTTTTTCTTTATTATTATTAACTTAAATCTTTTGCTATTGTTTGTTTTTGTTGGTGTGGTTTTTGGTTTTGGAGAGTTTTTTTTTTTTTTGTCATGTTTGTTTGTTTGTTGAGACCAAATCTGTCTACATAACCCCAACTGCCCTGGAACTATCTTCGCATTGAACTCACAGAGATCCTCCTGCCTCTACCTTCCAATTGCTGGGATTAAAGGCCTACGCCTTCACACCAAGCTGCTTTCTTTTTTCTAATCAGCTATATTCTTTTAGCTGAAGTATTGGCAGTGTTGAGGTGGGACTTGGGTGTGGTAATGAGTGTGTAGTTCAGAAAATAGCTCCTCAGTCCGGGAGTCCGGGTGCCTACTGTGAGTTCCATCTTATCCCCTGAGGAGATGAGCTAGGAGGACAGCCACAGCTGTTTGCTGTTCCCACCGTGCAGTTGTCATGCTCACCTTATATCATGGACCCTTAGACTCCAGTAGCTCTACAGGGAAACAACCAAGGACAATGTGGAGTGTTTGCAGATCTTAGTTAATCAGATTGATGAGAGAGAAGTAAGGTGGGGAAGTAGAAGGATTGAATATTAGATGGACTTTGAAGTAAAAAGAAACCAAGGTGGGTAAAATAAAAAGGAAGGGAGTGTTGGTGTACTATTGGGGTCCACAGATTTTAGAGAGCATTAAAACTATAGAATATTATAGACAATAAAAGAGGAGGGGATGGGGCTGGAGAGATGGCTCAGTGGTTAAGAGCTTTGCCTGTTCTTCCAAAGGTTCTGAGTTCAATTCCCAGCAACCACATGTGCTCATAACCATCTTTAATGAGATTTGGTGCCCTCTTCTGGCCTGCAGGGATACATGTAGGCAGAACACTGAATACATAATAAATAAATAAATAAATCTTTTTAAAAAGGAGGGGATATGGCTAAGAAAAGAGGGGGAGTGTATGAAACACAGTAGAAGAAAACAGTGTGGGTGGGGAGATCCTGGAGAGACGGCTCAGTCGTTGAGAATACTGGCTGCTCCTCCAGAGGACCCAGGTTCAGTTCCCAGAACCCACATGGCAGCTCACAACTGTCTGTACATGTAAGCTCTGACACCCTCACACAGACATGCATGCAGGCAAAACACTGGTGCACATTTTAAAAAAAACTTTAAAAATATTTATTTATTTTATTTATTTATTATGTATACAATATTCTTTCTGCTTGTATGCCTGAAGGCCAGAAGAGGGCACCAGGCCTCATTACAGATGGTTGTGAGCCACCATGTGGTTGCTAGAAATTGAACTCAGGACCTTTGGAAGATCAGGCAGTGCTCTTAACCGCTGAGCCATCTCTCCAGCCCCCTACATAAAAAATTTTAAAAAGTGTCTTCTGGTAAACCAGGTGGAGAAACATAGTCCTAAAACCTCAGCAAACAAAAGCAAAACCATCCTGAGACATGCATGCCAGAGTTGAAATTGAACCATAGAAAATAAGAGGTAAAAGTAATACCCATGGATTGAATTGCTCACAGCGGCGCTGAATCGAAAGGTGAAGTCCTCAGATTTTGCTGGCTCCAGTTAAAGTTCCCTGTGGTGCTGCTGTGTGGACGAGTGGGCACTGCTGCGGGGAACTATTGTCTCTGTAGCTTCACTGTACTTGGGGTTCTGGCCTGTGAAGGAGTAGAGGTAGCAGGTCCTTTCTGGTAGTTCCCTTGAACCCCTGCACCCCACCATGGCCTTTCCTTGTGCTGCAGGTCTGTGCAGCCCTTTCCTGCAGCCTCTGCTGCTCCCTCCTGGGCTGCTTCATTAGACAGGCCACACACCTATTGGAGAGGGCTTCCAGCTGGGCTCTGCAGCATAGCGGTCCTGCCTGCTTCCCTGTCCAGCTCTTCCTGGTTTAAAGAGTTCCTTACCAACCTTGTCTCTTTCAGATTAAGGTAGTGCTCTTGTTTGAGCACTGGGTTTGTTCTGTTACATACCCAGACTTCCCTCAAACTTGGACTCCTGCCTCAGCCTCTGGAGCACTAAAAACTTTCACTACCTTGAGTAGTACTTTTCAATACAGTATACGATGAATTCTTTAGTTGTCTATATTACAGATGATATAGAGAACTAGAAAAATACATAGCCAGTTGGTAATTGAGTGGCTGTTTTAGGGGTTTTTTGTTGCTGTTGTTGTTCTAAAGTAAGCATGCATGATATCTTTTAACATATATAATTTGTACTAGCAGGAAAGGACAACCTAAAAATAAAAATGTAATTATATTTCTAAAAAAAAAATAGATTCAGGCCGGGCGGTGGTGGCACACACCTTTAATCCCAGCTTTTGGGAGTTGGGAGGCAGAGACAGACATCTGTGAGTTCAAGGCCAGTCTAGTATACAAAGTGAGTTCCGGTACAGGCTCCAAAGCTACAGAGAAACCCTGTCTTGAAACCCCCACCCCCAAATTAGAATCAGATTTGAGAATGACATCCCTGCTGAACATCACGTGGTCCTTTTTAATCACAGTGGGTGGTCTCCTGGGCCTCCATTGATAAATTTATTATTTGTTTTTGTTTTCTTTAGTCAGTATTTGCAGGATGAAAGTAAGACCAAAAGAAATACAGATCTCAATCTCTTAGAGTGGACCCACTACAGCATGAAGCCACATGTAAGTGACGCTGTCTGTATTTCTTGTTTCACTCATTTTCCTGAAGTATGTGTGTGTTTCACACTAAAGATTGAATTTAGGGTCCGTGGATACAACCTTAGTCCTAAGGTTTGTATTTCTAAACCTATAACCATCCGTGTAACCAAGATAGTTGCTTCTTGTCTTTCATCTTACTTTAGGTATAAACTGTTTGGGGAAACCCAGTCTCAGGTCTGAAAATGGGCCCCAGGATACTGTGAGATCAAAGGCAGGCAGACCCATGACAACAGACTGCAGCTTATGGTCCATTTGCACAGAAACTGGCACAAAGTGGCAGCAGGTCTAGTGGTTAGGTCACATGGAAGAGACCTCATCTAACCACAGTGATCTGGTTTTTCTCCAGCTAATATCAGACGAAAGGCACATTCTGCGTATTCATGATGTCATAGTCTGGTCCTACAACTCCCATACATACCACTCCAGTGGCTTGACCTGCCGTAGTGTGCTAGGAAACTGTGCTGTGGAAACTGACCAGGTTCAACTCAGATTCAGTTAGGGTCACAGTTCAAGATGGCTGTTGTCATGTCAAGTCAAGATTGGGATGAGAGCACACAGCTTTTTCATACAGGTTTATTTTCTAATGTCTTAGAGCTGCTTGCTCCTAGCTGTGTTTCTGCCTCAAGGACATGACTAAGCTCTCAAGGAATGATCCTAGTAGATTAAAATCTTTTTTTCATCTCCCTGGAAACTGTAGGGATCCCAAGCAATGGGCAGGTGCCCTGATTGTTAGGACATGTAACCTCCACAGTATTGAAATATATGCTTGCGTTTTCGGGCTTATTTAAAGTTTATAATAATATGAATCATTGTCACTACTATTCTTGTAATGAATCAAATGCCGTTCCTTCTTTTCCCACCCTCATCGTGTTTGATGGGTTCTGTTTTGCTTAGAACTCTTACTTGCCTTACTTGTTTCTTCTGCAAAGTGTTTGTGTGGCCTCACATGCTGTATCATGATGACAGTTTTTAGTCCATAAAGAGTCAGAGTGATTGTGTCTGTGATCTGTGTGTGTATAACACCAGGTTATCCACTGAGAGTCAGAGTGATTGTGTTTGTCTGTGATCTGTGTGTGTATAACACCAGGTTATCCACTGAGAGTCAGAGTGATTGTGTTTGTCTGTGATCTGTGTGTGTATAACACCAGGTTATCCACTGAGAGTCAGAGTGATTGTGTTTGGGTAGCACCAGATTCATCCACCATCATCACACTGTTTTTCCACGGCGATGTTTAGAGAGACTAAAGGGTTGTATATGTAATGATATTTTACCTCTTCCCCCTCTGTTTGTTTTGTTTAGGAGATTCCTCAACAATTGAATGGGAGTGATTGTGGAATGTTTACTTGTAAATATGCAGATTATATTTCTAGGGACAAACCTATCACATTTACTCAGGTGAGTCCAGCTCCTTCTCGTGCACTTATTAGTGTACTTTGGCAGTGCCTGGCACACTTCAGGCTTTTCTGACAGACAGACAGACAGACTGACTATTGCTAAGAACCTTAGGTGAGGCCCCATTCAGAATCAGTGGTGCACATGCTCTGTCATAGGTGTGTTCTTGGACTTGACCAAAAATTGTTGATGACCAGTGGGATAATTTGCTTGTGCTTGACCTCCATTTTTTGATTGGTTTGTATGTATCACTGTTTTTAGCTAAAGGGAGGCATGTGAGAGTAGATAACAGCCTTGGGAGGCCTTTAACCCCAGGTCTAAGATGGAAGCATGAATGAATGGCTGCTTTCCTTTCTGAGGAATGTTAACACTTGAGAGGAAGTTCAATTCTATCAAAAACCTTAAACTTCTCTTGATAGTGAACTCTCAGTCTTTTTACAGCCAGAGTGAACCCCAATTAGAAATATTCTCATCCATAGACCTCTGTCTCATAGTTCCTGTGTGCCAGACAAGCTGTTTTCTTTTTTTTTTTTTATTTATTAAAGATTTCTGTCTCTTCCCCACCGCCGCCTCCCCTTTCCCTCCCCCAATCAAGTCCCCCTCCCTCGTCAGCCCAAAGGGCAATCAGTGTTCCCTGCCCTGTGGGAAGTCCAAGGACCACCCACCTCCATCCAGGTCTAGTAAGGTGAGCATCCAAACTGCCTAGGCTCCCACAAAACCAATAGGTGCAGTAGGATTAAAAACCCATTGCCATTGTTCTTGAGGTCTCAGTAGTCCCCATTGTCCACTATGTTCAGCGAGACCGGTTTTAACCCAGGCTTTTTCAGACCCAGGCCAGCTGGCCTTGGTGAGTTCCCAATAGAACATCCCCCATTGTCTCAGTGTGTGGGTGCACCCCTCGTGGTCCTGAGTTCCTTGCTCGTGCTCTCTCTCCTTCTGCTCCTGATTTGGACCTTGAGATTTCAGTCCGGTGCTCCAATGTGGGTCTCTGTCTCTGTCTCTTGTCTCCTTTCATCGCCTGATGAAGGTTAATGTTCAGGAGGACAGACAAGCTGTTTCTGAGCAGCAGAACTAAGTGCTTTGGAGGAACATGGAGTAACCACTACTGAATGTCAGCTTTCCTATCTCAGATAATCAGTAATCACTATTGATTAGTCTCAGCAGTTTTACTAGGAGTAAAAGTAATGTTTTACTGAGTTTTATATGTTTTATTTTTTTGAGAGAGACAGGATTTCCTATAGCCACAAACTGGCCTGGAAATCACTATGTAGCCAAGGATGGCCTTGGCACTTCTCATCCTCCTGCTTCTGCCTCCTGATTGCTATGATTCCAAGTGTACACCACTGTGTATATTAGACAGTCTACTGAACCCGTGGATGCCTTGAACTATTTCAGATAACTTAAGAATCATATGCTAAGGCTGGGCATGGTGGTACATGCCTCTAATCTCAGCCCTGGGAAAGCAGAGATTTGAGGGTCTCTGAGTCTCGGGCCAGTCTGGTTTATATAGTGAGTGATGGGCCAGCCAGGGTTACATAGTGAGAGACCTTGTCTTTAATTTAAAACAAATAGGCCAAAGGTGGGAACATCAGTTTTTTAAAATTTTTTGAGAGAGGGTTTCCCTGTATGGCCCTGGCTATTGTGGAACTCAGAACAGTAGACCAGGCTGGCCTCAAACAGGTCCACCTGTGCCTGTTTCTGCCTCTGGAGTGCTTGAGATTAAAGGTGCACATCCCTACCACCCAGCTTTTTCCTGCTTTTTAAATAAGGGTCATTTAAATTGAAACCAGTGCCTCATAAATACTAGGCAAGATCTCTACTAGAGAGCCATACTTTCATGCCCTAAGGTCACTTTTTAATATAAAAGCGAATTATTTTTTAAAAATAATGTTCACTTAGGATGTAGAAAAGTTTCCTATTGTGCCACTGCTTGGACATTTCCATTTTGTTGCTTTTTTTTTCTTTATTTTCTTTTCTTACTACTTTTGTCATTACTCTGTAATATATGATTCTGTGTTCAGCTTTGGTTTTTCTTAACCTGTAAGTACATATGTATGCACATGTAATTACACACGAATGTATGTATATAGGCTGAGTGTGGTACACTTGTAATCCTAGAACTGGGAGGCTGAGGCAGGAGAAGCTCATGAACACAGCCGCTTAGGAGGCTGTTTAGCAAGACCCTTCTTAAGCAAGCAAACACCTGTGTCAAACATGGCAGACCATGCTTGGAATCCCACCTACATAGGTGGGAAGATCAGGACAAGAAAGCCTTCCTGGCTCAAAATAAATCCCATTGTGCTTCAGAAATGTAAACTTGATGTAAAATGGTCAGGCTGATGGACGTGGTGACACCTAGAGGCCGTCATGCTGTGATACTGCACACAGCGTGTGTAACACTGTTTGTTGTTTGTGGGATTCTTTCAGCACCAGATGCCTCTCTTCCGGAAGAAGATGGTGTGGGAAATCCTCCATCAGCAGTTGCTGTGACGATGCCCTGCCCTGGGCCTTCTAGCTGCTGGTGGTTCTTTCATGGATGTTTCCATATACCTCATGCATTGTGGGTCAAAAAGTCCCCGTATCATTTCTGTTCTCACAGGTACTGAGCTATCAAGAGTGCATGAAGGCCTCTCCACAGTAGCCCTGACTCGAGGTGTGGAGGGGCTGCTTGCAACCCTGTTTGTAAGGCTGTGCCTGCTCAGAGCCCTGGACTGTTCACCCCATAAAGAACAAATGCTAATTAATGTTTTTTGTTTTCAAGAGTTATTTCCATATGAATGTGGGAAATGCAGGACTTGTTCTATGAATTGTTGTTTCTGTATATTTGTTCGCGTGTACTCACTCACCGCCCATTTGCAAACACTGGGCAGTGCCCTTCCTCACTGCTCTTTATAATTAACGATAAATAATTTGTTATGAACTATTTATTTCTGAAAAGAATGTTAATCAGACTTGCCACTCCCTGCTGCAGAGGGACGAAGCGGGTGTTGACTAGCTTCTCTGATGCTGGAGTAGGAACTGCCGACATGGTTAAAGTTCTCTTTTGAGACTTGAAGATGCAGAAGAAATGACGATGCTGTTGTAGGGATCTGCTGCCTTTTAGAAAAGCACAGTGCGTGGAGATGTGGCCAAGGAACTCAATCTGTGCAGCCTCAGAACAGCGTGCGCTCATCTTAGAGACTTCCTTTTCTAGAACTGAAGTAGCTTGGCTTCCTCTTGAAACTGGATTCAAAGTAACTGTGACCATAAATGTTTCATCGTAGGTGTGGTTGAGTATGAACCTCACAATGGTAAAGGGCTGGCCTGAACTGTCTATTTCAGAAGATACTCCTCAATTTATGCCTATTTTTCCTCAGAGTTTTTTAATATATATATATATATATAAATAAAACTGAAATTAAGTTCTTGGCTCATTAGCATGCCCTACTCCAGTCCCACTGAGCCTCCGGAGAGAGATTTAGTACCTGGCTCTGAGGTTGCCCGTTTTACAGTCATCTATTTTGCATATGAAAGTTTGTATTTAACTTTTTTGTTCATTAAAAATCTTACAGATGTGGTTATGCATTTTTAATTTCAGAAAGTTGGTCAGAGCATATTTTGCAAGACCTAGTGCCTAGTGTTGCTTTTATGATGTAATAAAAGACTGTCTGGCAGAACCTAGAATATATGCTGATAATTCCTCCTCTCTTCAGCTTCCACCTTCCCAACTTGTTCTGATACAGAAAGAAGAAATAAACTTAGAAAAGCTGCATATGTGTTAGATACAAATGTCCATATCTGCTCTTGGGGAATCCTGGGTCAGAGGTTGTAGCCATTGAAACCTGTTTTTTCTGAGACTTGAAGTCGCCTTGGTATGGAAGCTGGGCCTGTGATGTGGACCAAAATGGCCAAGCCAACCCAAAGAGACCTGGTGGCCCAGTCAGGGCGGAACTGTGCTCCTTCCTCCGCAGGACGGACTGCACAGAGACCACTTCATTTAGCTGACACCCTGGGAATTGGGCCAGTGGGGCCAAGATCAGGCAGCTGGTATAACCAGAGGAGCTCAGAAGTTGGCTGTCTACTAGAAACTGGATGTTAGAATTCTGCCTGAGAGTTTATGGCCCAAACCTGCCAAGATGGTTGCATGACCTGAGCTTAATCCCCTGTACCTACCATGGAAGGAAAAAACTGACTCCCCCAAGTTGTCCCCTGGCCTCCACACTTGGCCACATGGACAGGTGCACTGTAATAATAGTAAGCAAATTTTCAAAGGAATCAAGGGTTGAGTTCCCTTTTAGCCTCAGCCTAGCACCTATGTCACAGGCTCACCTGCTCACACCTGTAATCCCAGTTCTGAGGGAATGGCGGCAGAGGACCAGACCCTGCCTCAGAGGAACCGGAGAAGTGCTAGAACACCGCTAAGCTCCTCTTCCGGCCTTCTCATGTACTCATCCGCACTCATGTGCGTGCACCACACTAAGGCATAGTAAAATAGGTGAGTGCAGATGTTAAGCTACAGCTGCACTACTCTACCTGAATTCCTGATCCAAGCTAAGATGCCACAAGGATGGTTGTCTATGCACTGACGTGTCTCCCTTGGTACAAAGAAGTGTGTGGGCAATAGAATTGTTACAGTTGCGGGGAGGTCGTGGCGTACACCTTTAGTCCCAGCACTCAGGAGGCAGAGGCAGATGGATCTCTTGAGTTCAAGGCCAGCCTGGTCTATAGAGTGAGTTCCAGGACAGCCAGGGCTGCACAGAGAAACGCTGTCTTGAAAAACCAAAAGAATTGTTAGTCAGACATTCTGAAAAAAATAAAAATAGCTATTGGTGTAACTAGCGAGCAGGTCAACAAAATTAAAGCCAATGTGTGTGTGAGTGTGTGAAATTTCAATTTGGGGACCTGAAAAAAAATGTTTCATTGTTCTGTTTAGCCCACAGTCTGTCATCTGAAAATGAGTAAATTTTAAGAAATGCATAGTGTTGGTGAGTTCTCTTTCTGCAGTCAAATGCTCTATGCTTGTGCTTTACCTGGCGTTGCGGTCGGGGGACGCTGTCCAACCATCCCTGCAGATACTGTATTCTACCCAAGTTGATTAAGGCTGTTGGAGCCCCTGCTCCCTCCCTCTCAAGTCCTGCACTGAACCTGTGGACTGCTGAGGGGACCTTGTGTGGGCGGGGAGTCTTCCTGAAGATACAGTAAACACCAAATGCCTAAACAACTTAAGATACTGTGGTCAACCCACATATTTAAATGGCTTTATGAGCTGGTTTTGAGAAGGCCTCCATATCAAGTAAATTTTTAGACCTTATTTGTAAGGTGGAGATACATATGGCTTGCTGATTTTTAGTAATTTAATATACCCAAAGATTTTGGGTGTGCTGGAATAGATACTAGTTTATTTACCAATAAATTAATCTCTTAAGTAGCTTTTAGATTTTGTATTGAAACTCATGTATTCTATGATCAATATATGACTCACATGTACACAATTATTTTGTGAAATGTTTCCTTTTTTGGACTGGAGAGATGGCTCAGCAGTTAAGAGCACTTGTTTTTGCAGAGGGCAGTAAATCCCAGCTTACACACTGGGCAGCTCACAATGGCCTATAGTCCTAGGTCTAGGGAGTCCAGCACCCTCTCCTGATTTCTGATTACATGGTATACACTCACTCAGACAAACACGAGATGGGACTAGCTGGGGAGATGGCCCAGGAGTTAAGAGCACTCGCTTCTGTCCTCAGGCTCCAGTGCTCTCTTCTGGCCTCCTTGGGCACCTGCACGCACAAACCCAGACATACAGATAATTTTTTTTAAAAAAAAATTGTTTTTGTTTTTCAAGACAGGGTTTCTCTGTAGCTTTGGAGCCTGTCCTGGACCTAGCTCTTGTAGACCAGGATCTCATAGAGATCCGCCAATCTCTGCATCTAGTGTTGGGATTAAAGGCGTGTGTTACCACTGCCAGGCAGAATGAAAGGTTTTAAAAGGCAGGAGGTGGGGGAAGAAGGAGGGAGGGAGGAAGGCACAGCCTGTTTCAAAATGATCCACCTAAACCTAGGGGAACAGGCTAGAAGCTTCTAGACTTGATAAGTGATTACCAGGGGCATTCACTCTGGGGTACATTGGCATTTCCTAAATATATTCAGTAGAAGTCCTATTATTTCTGTACATGGGTGATAAGACAGGAAATCAAATTGACAGGACAGCCCAACAAGCAGCTGAGTTCACTTGCTTGAACATGTCGGGGAAGGAGAGACCCAGCTTCCAAAAGTATTCTCTGACCTCTATATTGTGTGCCAACACTCATATAAATTCAGATTTAGAAACAAAGGTCTGGCTCAGGAAATGTAAGAAGTGTGTCTTTTTCTTCCTCGAGATGCGTAGCCAACATGCACGTTTTACATGAAGAAACACGTCTTTGTTTTTATTTTGTTTTGAGAAAGTTCTCTGTGACTCAGGCTCGCCAGGAACTCACTTTAAAGTGCAGACTGCCCTCAAGCCCACTGCAATCCTTCCACCTCTGCTTGCTGGGAGCTAGGATTACAGGCATGCACAGCTATGCCTAGCTAATGTCCTAGCCTAGCATCTTTCAACTATAGGTACTGAGTCCTTGTCTCTGAGACTCCTATGGAACTGTTCACAGGAAACTGCCAGAACAACAGAGTTCTTGGGGGCATGCACTTCAAATATATAAAGAAAAGCTCTACTACCCTTGCTGCAGACACAAACACACATTCCACATACACAGTCTCTACATGTCATGTCAAACGTTACACATAAATATGGCAGTCAATGTGTGATTCCTAAGTACCAGATAACATCTATAATTTCCTTTAATAACAATAATATGTACTTATGGTAGAAAGGTAAAATACTAACAAAAGGTAAAGAATAAAAATTCTGGCCACCTCTACCACTCTACTCCACACCCAGACTCCCCACATCTTCCAGGGTCCCACAGCCAGTCCCATCACTTCTGAAGTCAACCTCTAGGCGTCTACTAAGCCCTGCCCTACCTGTATCCATCCACAAGACCCTCTGCACTTCCTGCACCACCCCGCACCATACATCAACCCATTCATAGTTGGCCATTTCAGTGGTCCACTGGACAAAAAAATTGAATCAATTGACATCCTACATCAAATAGCCTTAACATAGCTACAGAATAGTCTATCCAAACACCAAAGCAGAATATACATTCTACTAAATAGTACATGGGAGCTTTTCCAAAAAGAGGCCACATCCTGAGACACAAATCATTGAAGTAACTCCTTATATCCTATCTGACCACAATGCAGCAAAACTTAAAATTGCCCTAAAGCTACAGAGAAACCCTATCTTGAAAAAACAAACCAAATCAAAACAAAAGCTTAAAATTAATGCTGGCAGTGGTGATTCCTGTCTCTAATCCCAGCTCTTGGGAGGCAAGAGAGGTGAATCTCTGGGTTTGAGGCCAGCCTGGTCTACAAAGTGAGTTCCAGAACAGCCAAGACTGTTATACAGAGAAACCCTGTCTCAAAAAAAAATAAAATAAATAAAAAATAAAAAGTCTTATAACCAGATAGATTCAAAGCAGAATTCTAGACATTCAAAGAGTGCTGCAAACTCTTATGAAGCCAGTATCTGATACCTAAACCAGGAAAAGGCAAAACATAAAAAAAGACAGGCCAATATCTCTGATGAACATAGATTCAAAAAAACCCAATAAATACAAAGAATACAGATACAGTCAAAAAGATTATCCACCAAGTTGAAATTACCCTTGAAAAGCAGGGCTGGTTCAACACATATAAGCTGATGAATAGACCACATAAATGGACTTAAAAACAAAAAGCATGTGATCATCTCAATAGAAGCAGAAAAAAAATACTTTGACAGAATCCAACATTCATGACAAAAGTACTAGCTAATATAAGGCTGGAGGGAATAAAATACATACAAGTAACTCACAGCCAACATCATCCTAAATGGAGAAAAGCTTGAAGCAATCCCACTGAAGTCAGGAACGAGGCAGGAATTCCCACTACCCTACTCCTGCTCAGCATGGTGCTTGAAGCACTAGCTGCAGCAATAAGGCAAGAGAAGGAAATCAAAGGACTACAAATAAGGAAAGAAGTCAAACTATCCCTATTTGCAGATGACATACTACACATGACAGATCCCCAAACTCCTACCAGAAAACTTCTGGAGACAATAAGCAAATTCAGCCTTTTTGATACAGAATCAATTTGCATGAATCACTAACTTTTCTGTTGGTATTTCCTATACCAAGAACACACATACACAGAAGGTGGCTATGAACACACCTTCACAACAGCCTCAAAGAAAATATGGTATCTAGGGGTAAACCTAACAACCAAGGAAGCAAAGGACCTCTACACGAAAACATAAATTCTCTGAAAAAAGAGATGGAGACACTAGAAAATGGAAAGACACCCTATGTCCATGGATTGTAGAATTAACATTGTGAAAATGACCATTCTACCAAAAGCTATTTATAGGTTCATGCAATCCCAATCAAAATCTGCATCTCACTCTTCACAGAAACAGAAAAGGGTATCCTAAAATTCATATGGAACCATGAAAGAGCTTGGATAGCCAAAAGAATCCTCAGCAAAAAGAACAATGCTGGAGAAATTACAATTCCAGATCATAAGATATATTACAGAGACATAGTAATAAAAACAATATGGTAAAAAAAAAACCCAACAATATGGTATTGGCACAAAAACAGGCATGTAACCAAACTGAAGACCCAAACATGAGCACACATAACTTCAGCCGTTTAATATCCGACAAAGACTCAAAAACAACCCAGGAAACAAGAAAGCATCTTCAACAAATGGTGCTGGGAAAACTGGATGCCAACATGCAGTGCACAAAAACTAACTCCAAATAGATCAAAGACCTTAACTTGATATCAGTAATACCCTCCATGCCATAGGTATGGGAAAGGACTTCCTGAATGGGACTCCATTTGCCCAAGAATTCATGACACTAAAAAGCTTAAACAAGTCCTACATTTTCAAGAACTGGATAATGAAAATGTGCCCCATACACACTAGGAATACTTATCAGCTGTAAAGAAAATGAAATAACTGCAGGTAAACGGATGGAGTAGAAAAGACCGAATCGAGAGAGGCATCCCAGCTCCAGAATGACAAGCACCGTAGGTCTCTCTCATTGAAGGCTCCTAGTGCCAAACCTTCAGATGCCAATACATAGCATATAGGAACTACATAAACAAGGAAAGGAAAACAGAACCTTTGCCAAGATAGGGAGGTCGGGGAACAAGAGGGAGGAATTTAACCAGGTAAAAAGGGAAACGGGAATGGGATCCTTAGTGTCGGGGAGCAGAGTAAATAGAGAAGGTGGGAGGAACGTATGGGGAACAGAAGGATACAAGTGAGTTGATGGGGGAAATGGGAAAGCAGGGCTCTTTAGGGACTGAGAGGAAGGTAAATACAGAAGGAGAGAGGTGGCTAAAACAATAACAGTGACATCTAGACCGATAGTGACAGTGGTGGCGCACACCTTTAACCCCAGTGCTGGGAGGCAGAGACAGGCGGATCTCTGTGAGTTCAAGGCCAGCCTGGTCTAGAGTTCCAGGACAAGAAGAGCTACACAGAGAGGGCTGGAGAGATGGCTCAGTGGTTAAGAGCACTACCTGCTCTTCCAGGGGTCCTGAGTTCAATACCCAGCAACCACGTGGTGGCTCACAACCCCTATAATGAGATCTGGCGCCCTTTTCTGGCCTACAGGCAGGATACTGCATAAATAAATCTTAAAAAAAAAGCTATAGAGAAACCCTGTCTTCAAAAACAAAAACAAACAAACAAACAAAAAAAAAACACAAGGACATATGAAAATGCTACAAGGAATCAAACTATTATTTACAAAACCCACAAGAAATTCTGTGTATGAATATACATATATATTTTAATGAACCTTTCTCATCTGAACTTTTTGCGCTAGTACAACCTAACCCTCGCAACCAGGAACAGTGCAGTGGTTGCGTGCACCGGGCATATGCAAGACCAGCCCTGTTAGCAGTCATGGATAGGGGTGGGCTCATCGGGTTCTACCCCTTCCTGCTGAACTGTCTATCAGTTGTTGACAGATTCTTGGAGAGGGGAAACCATCGTCTGCAGTTGTATATTCACAGCTGAGCCCACCAGGCTACACAGGAAGCCATGGAAAGCCACGATCACACAGACCAAAGCGAGCAGATTCTCGAGGCGAGAAATAGTTCTATAGGGAAGATGTGGGGTAGACAAGGGTGGGAGGGAGCTAAGAGGAGGGGGATGGGGAGTAAGCAGTATGCAGTAGACTATCAAAGGACAAGCAATAATTTACAAAAACCTTGATCCTTGATTCATCCTCCAGGGCTGGCTCAGAGGTTAAGAGCACTGACTGTTCTTCCAGAGGTCCTGAGTTCAATTCCCAGTAACCACATGGTGGCTCATGGCCATCTATAATCAGATCTGCTGACAACAGATACATAATGAATAAATAAATCTTAAAAAAAAAGATTCATCCTCAAACTGAGTAGAAGACACATCTGAAACTGGATTGACTTTACTTCAGAATTTTTGTTTCACAACGCTTTAGGGCGATTATAGTCAATTTTATCAGAAAAAAATTGGAATATATTTATATGTATATTTATATATTTTTTGAAAAATATATATTTAACCTTATTTTTCAAAAGTTAATTCTGGGATCCATAGATATAGGTGATCATTTGATTTTACTTTTCATTTTGAGACAGTCTCATAGGATGATCCGAGTAGGTCTTGAACATGTGAGTCTCCTGGCGCCATTAATGGGGCCAAGCTAAATCTGTGTTTTTTAAAAAAGACTTTAAAAAGACTTTTTCTGTACATTGGGGTTTTGTCTGATGTCTGAGGATGCCAGATTCCTTGGAACCAGAGTTACGGACAGTTGTGAGCTGCCATGTGGGTGCTAGGAATAGAACCCAGGTCCTTTGGAAGAATAGCCAATCCCCAAGCCATTCTAACCACTGAGCCATCTCTCCAGCCCCTAAATCTATTTTTGAATGGTTATAGTGTGATACTGGTTTCTGATGTGTATGTGTATGTATCTATGTGTACGTATGTATGTATCTGTGTGTGTGTTACGCACGCTAAAGGCCACCATCATGGTGGCTTGGGTAAGCCAATATTCTCTGTAGCACCGATTTGCCTTAGGCAGTCCAACACTTGAGTCAGTAGCTTCTCAGTGCCCAGTGTTATCCTTTAACACCTTCCTACCCGGCATAGCAGTGAACACCAACAGTCCCAGCACTCGGGAGGCTGGGCAAGGACTGCTGTGAGTCTCCAGGCAGCAGACTGCACATCGGGTACCATGTCAGCCAAGATGACACACAGGACCGGACCATAAAAAAAAAAAAAAAAAAAAAAAAACCACAAAAGCAAGCAAACCAAACCCCACTTTGCTTCTAATCTGTTCCCACTGGCTATGCCAGTACCCACCTCTATACCTTCCACTGGGGGAAGTGGCAAGTTCCTCCGAGAGATGGTGACCATCAGGCAGACAGCCTGGCCCTGGAGGTTCGTCCCTTCATGCTGTTCCGATTTGCTGTGTGTTGCTAGTCTCTACAGCTGAGCTACACTCCTGTTTCAGCCTTGCTCAGCCTAGAACTCGACAGTGGTCAATTCTGAAGACAGGATTTCGCTGTGTAACAGCCCTGGCAGTTCTGGAACTCACTTTGTAGACCAAGCTGGCCTTGAACTCTACCTCTGAGTGCTGGGGTTAAAGGTGTGCACCACCGTGCCCATGGTTTACGCATTTTTAAGCTTTCAATTAGAAAATGGTTAACTCAGCAGTTCTCAACCTATGGGTCGCGACCGCTGGTTTATTTTTTTAAGCCTTTCGCAGGAGTCATAGTAGACCATTGGAAAGCAGTTTACATTGTGATTCATAACTAGCAAAATTATAATTCTGGTTATGAAGCAGCGACGAGATAATTCTATGGTCGGGGGTCACAACACTGAGGAAGGCTGAGGGCCTCTGCCCTTGAGCTGGCTGAGGATTCAGCTCAGCAGGCCAACCTCTAGGCCTATAGATCTGCACCCGAGTCATCCACAGGCTGAAGCACACGCCCCGCCTCCTCCCACAAGCCCCCGGTGACCCACTGACTCATCCAGTTCCCCACCCCCAACCATGTGGACGAGGATCTGCCCAGGTCCCGACTGTCCAATTGCTCAATAAGTAAGACACCAGGACGCCAGACTCTTGTTAGCTTGGATATATTTTTCTTTTTCTTTTCTTTTTTTTTTTTTTTTTGTCAAAGAACACTGTTTGCAGTAGAGGAAACCGGCATTGCAGTCTGGTGGTGTCTTTCTTGGCTTCTTCACATAACCAGGCCGTGGTCATCCTTCAGCGCAAAAGCCCTCATGGCACGCACCCTATTGAAATTCAGGACGGCTCCAATATTCTCTCTCTGTTTTTGTCATTTTTAAAAAATAAACATTTTTAGATGTGTCCACAAGAAGGCCACGCAGGCTCTTGGCCAGCGGAAGACGAGCCAGCCCGGTAGCCGCACACTCGGGCTGCCGCCTGCTCCAGGCTGGCAGTTGAAAGCTTTTCCTTTTCCAACTCATTTTTATTACAAAAATAAAAAATGCTCCAACTATCAGTTTTACAAAATCTCTAAGGGAAACACAAGAGCGAGGTGCTGAGGTAAAAAAAACACCTGAGGTAGCTTTATTTGTGTGTTTTTCTCATTTTTAAAAAAAATCTGTGAATTTAACGCCCTGGGCCAACAACCTTGTATAAATTGCTATTTTCCTGCACTTTCAATTTTTAAAGGAAGAAATAATTTCACTAAATGTTGATGGCTTATATACCAAAATGTAGAAAGACAAAGTACATTCTTTGTTTCTGGAACATTCCTTTGTTTGGTTGGCTGGCTGGTTTGGAGGGTTCCTCTTCTAGAGGCTAGGACAAGTGCCATCGACTCTTGTTCACTTGAGTAACCAGGGGCAAGCTGAAGCTGGTTCCTGTGTTTCGCAATGGTTCCTTTTGTGTGACGTGATACTCAGAGCACTGCTTTGCCTGGGGGGTGGGGGGGCGTGCATAGATATGGGGTGGGGACAGAAAAAGATGAAGGAATTCAAAGAATGGCAGGTAAAGAAGAGAGAGGAAGGTAGGGGAGGGAGATAAACAGAGACAGAAATATATAGCAGTATGCAAAAAAAAAAAAAAAAAACAGTTTAAAACCCGTGCCGCAGAGAAATGGGTGTATGGGATAAACAGGTGACAAGGGCTGGGGGCCCTCCTCAGGGACGGTATCCCTTCTGTTGATAGACACAGGTGATCCACAACTGCCGTTAAGTGTCCTTGACGAGATTTCCCTCCAAGTGAATTTTGTGTGGGTGGCTCAAAGTTCCTTTCACTACCTATGGTCCTCACCAAGACTTTATTCTTTGAAGTCTAGAAAAGCCTGCTTTCTCTTCAACAGAAAACAAAATTAATAATTGAGTAAAAATTGGAGTGAGTTGGGTTACTTGATATATTATTTCTAAAATATATTAACGCTGCAGGCGCCCTGTGTAACCCACAGGCAACATTATCTTAACATCTTCCCCTTCTAGTATGTACAGCCATGTACAGAGACACTTTCCACAACGAAGAAAAGGCTACGGAGGTTTGCCTCGCTTTGAGCATGTTCACCTATGTTAGTTCAACTGGAAGGGACGGCGTCCTAGGAGCTGAGGAGGGAGCTGAGTGGATGGGCAGTGGATGATGGTAAGCCTGCAGAAGCCAGGGGAAGCTGGGCGCAGGTCAAGTGGTGTTCCTGGGGAACCCGGCCCTCCCTCGGCCTCCTGGATCCCAGGATGTGTGGGGGTCTGCAGGCCCTGGCTGCTCTACAGACTTCTCACTCCTCAGGATGGTCTTTGGTTTGCTCCCGATCTGCTGGCTGTTTGGTCTCGTCTGTCAGGTGTTGGGAGGGTTACATTCATCGGTTGTTTGCTGGCGCCTGGGGGGCCTCACTTGCTGCGCTGTGAGGCGACTCCCTGAGGGTATTTCTGCTCCTGCTGCTTCACCTGCTGGACAATTTCCCTGATCTTGCGTTGCGCAGTCTGCAGCAAAGAGAGGGAGGGGAGGGCACAGGGAAGAGACAATCCCAGTTCTGGGGCCCACAGGAAACCAGCGGGGACTTGGGAAAGGAGAGACCTCAGACCAATCTCACCTCCCCCAGGTCCCCCAGCATCACACCCAACAGCCAGGGGAAGAATTCCTCTTCACCAAGGCTACTTACTGGGTGCAAGATGGGGTGGGGGAAGAGGAAGGAGGGTGCAACGGGGTGGGAGGGGGAGAACTAGCAGCTTCTAATTCACAGTGAGCAGTCGGGCTAGAGAGCAGCTGTAGGGTATAGTGACCATTGACTGGGGGTGGGGGGGTGTAGGCTGAAGGCCCTCCCCTCACACTGAGCTCTGCTGTGCCCCTCCCTTTCCCAGAGCACGAGAAAGATCAGCAGAGAGACTAGAGCCCTGCCAAAGCCTGGAAGAGCTGGAGTTCTGACCCTGAGCCGCAGCTCCCCAGGCCACAGGAAAGCAACTGAGAGTCAGATCAAGTGGGAGACCACAGACTGCCCTTCTCCTTTGCTTACATGAGGACCACAGTTGCCCTCTCTCTAAAACCCACCCAGCAAAAGGCATCGAGACAACCAGGTCACATGTCACTGCAGGGCTGGCTTCTCTGAGCACAGGGCAACAGTGATGGTGTCTTCTAAGGAGGTGGGGAAGACAGCAACAGAACACTAGGGCCCCACTGTGAGCAGTTAACCTTCCGCAGTGAAACCTGGCCACCTGGTTGCCCTGCTGGGGACCTGCTGGACATGAGGCTCCTCGGAGGAAGGCTGGGAGGGCAAAGGGATGCTAAATTCCCAACCCTAGCATGCCAGGAGCCTTGCACCAACAGTTTCCAGTCCCTGAGGTCAGGGGCTCAGGAGGGACTCAGGTATATGGCCACTTGACACGGATACAGTACGTGAACTAGCAGAGAGCGGGCAGGAAGCAGGCCTCACAGAATAGTACCTGGCTAGCAAAAAAATGCCCGATAATTCTGACGATCACTTCCGCATTTTCATCTGGCGTTTGGTCACGAGGCACGATAACTTCTGCACTGGTCAAGTTCTGCAGCTCGTTTACCTGGAAAGGCAGAAAACTGAGCGAGGCCAAGCGCACCCCAGTAAAGCCAATACATGGGCTGTGGAGGGAGACACTCTAGGGATGCGGGGGAAGGGGAGGCAGAATCTTTTTTTTTTTTTTTTTTTA